GCTCAGAGCGGCAACTTGGAGATTGTGCGATTGCTGCTGGAGGCCCACGCTGACAAGGATGTGGTGACACGGGCTGGTAACACTGCGTTGCATTTGACAGCTCACAACGGCAACTTGGAGATTGTGCGATTGCTGCTGGAGGCCCACGCTGATAACACAGGACGGTCTTTGGCAGCTCTGCACGGCCACTTGGAGTTGTTAGAATTGTTGCTGGAGTGTGGTGCAGATAAGGATGCAGTGACACAGGCTGGTGACACTGCTTTGGAATTGGCGGCATTGAACGGCCACTTGGAGGTGGTGCTATTGCTGAGAAGTAGTGCCGACACCGAGTAGTCACATGGTAGCATGGAGAAGGATGCAGTGTCACAGACTTGTGCAAAACTGCTTTGATTTTTTTCAGGTCAGAAAGACCACTTCGGGGTGGTACACTTGTGGCTGGATGTGGGTGCTGCGAGGAACACCGCAATGGAAGGTGGCGCGACAGCTTTGCAGTTGGCAGCTCAGGCAGACCACTTTGAGGTGGCAACACACGAAGAAGCACAACCTTTGACACCTTGGGTTTGATTTTAGCTTGCAACGAAATGGGTGCTTGCTGCTCTGAAGACTCCGGAGAAGCAGTACTGATTCACCTGCAAGCTACGGAGAAAACGATGAGTAAACCTTTCAACTATGTGTGATTCTGATTCTGCCACGGATAACTCATCAATCGTCATCAACATCCACTTCTAGCAAAGTCCGTTTGTGTTTGGTGGTATTCTTTGCATGTACGCAGTTCGGTTTCTGAGTCTGGAAACCGCAGATCCATCTCACCCGGTCGTTTTTTTGTCGTCTCATCTAATTGGTTGGTCATTTGAGGCTTGGGTTGAGTCTCAGGCGCATTTTTTCAGTTTCACTCTTGGGTATGAGCCAACATTGATAGCCTAGCCAAAGCTGAGGATGTCCTCGCATCCGTCTCCATGCTCGTCCTCCCAGGTGAACCAAACACCAAGCAGCTTAAAGCCAGCGCTCAGGTGTGGGGACTGTGAGAAAAACGGGTGCAAAGAGGATGGCAAATGGGTCATTGAGTATGTAATTTGTTTACATGGTATTGTTTTACTGTACACGTTTGCACTTTTGTTGAGTATGGTCATCGTTTCGTATGACTAACGTTCTCATCTCGCTACATGTCTTAAACATGTCCTATTGGTTGTCAATCATGGACGTTTTTGCTTTGAGGCCAACACCTAGGCTAGCAAAGTTAACGTAGCAGCTGATTTGTAGGGAACCTGGTGGACCATCGAAGTGGATAGACGGTCCAGAAGCTTCAGGTTTTTGCCAGGACAGGTCCGTTTGCCAAACGAAGTTAGAGGATTCTGCGAGGGTTTGTGGCCTCAACCCATCGTTTGCTAGTCTAGGGGCAGACTCGACCAATGAACAGGTGTGTGACTCGAAACCACAGCACTGAGAGACGCCTTTGGTACAAAACAACCAGCTAGAATCTATAGAATCGACTCCATTGCCAGTGGTTTTGAAGAACGGCCCTCTTCCGAAGGAATGGTCCTCCCCAAACAGATCCAAACTGTTTTTTTCATTTTTTCTTTGTTTCTTTCAACTGTTGTCACGCTTGTTTTGGCCTCATCCATCCTGCTCAACCCTCCAGGCAGCCAGCCGCTCCAGTCGCTCTCGCTCCAGCGCTGCTGGCGCCGCCGGCGCCGCAGCGCCTCTCCTCGGCCTCGGTCGCATGGACGCCCACGGCCGCGGCCACACCGGTCGCCATCGTGGGAGGGCCAGTGACGCCGGCCACGCCGACGCCGTGCGTGACTTGGCTTGGAAAAGACACGAACTCGTCCAAAGGGCGCAAGAATTCGTCCAAATGAATGGCAAATTCGCATGTCGGACGAAAGGTGTGATTTGTGTCGCGACTGCGAAGGGCCTGTGTCTTTTTGTTTTTTTTTGAGACAGGAAGTCAGTCCTGACCTTTCTTTTTGTATTCCTTACCAGCAGAAGACAAATTGGAGAGTCACAAGAACAGCCACTCAAAGCTAAAGTTTTGATTTACCAATACCATATAGTTATATAGTCCTTTCGTTCTAGTCATCTCTCACGTAGCTGTTCAATGTTTGGCATTTTACACTTGTATTTGTCCATGTTGGTTTGAACACAGTTGAAAATATCCGCAGACAGAAAAAGGAAGTTGCACCAAATCAGAACAGCTGCAAGTAGGGCCTGGACTTTTTGTGGGGTTGTTTGCAATGCCATACTGTACAGATTGCAGATGGCTTCCTCAATTCACCAATGGTTTTTGGTATTCTTTGGTGCTCTGCTGTCATGAACGTGCTGTGTCGTTCAGCATGGGCTGCAGCCGGGCTGCACTGCAGGTTGCTGCGTTTCTGGCGTCGTTAGGGTCTTAGTTGTCTTAGTTTTATGTTGTCAAGACTTGCAGCTGGAAATCAACATAGCAACTTGTCATCAGCACGGTGGAACACTAAGCTGAAGCCCCCCCAAAGTTGAGCAACGGAGCAGTATGGCTTTTGCTCCACGTCACGCACATGATGGGTTCGGATTACTGTCCTCACTTCACAAATGTCTACTATGTCTATGCCAGTGACTCCAACCTTTCCTATGCTCCATAGATGGTTCTATTTCTATGCCTTGCTTCAATATTGATTCTATATTGGTTGGTTGGTTCTGACGAGGGGATATTCCCAGTCGTCAAGAAACCAATAAGTAAATGGACCCCTCTATTCTTCTCCAAAGGACATCATGGTGATGTTCCACAAAGGCGTGAAACAACTCTTATGGTTAAGTCTTGGTATCTCAAAGTATCTGGGAATCAAAGTCGACACCTGGGGTGCTGGGTGGAGGACCTCCTGCATAGTATGGAATGGACACATTTGACCTGAAGTCATGAGTGTAAGACTACTTCTATAACTATAACAGGACAGGGACAGGGTGGCACGACTGCTCCTTGTCAACTATGTTTGAAGGGCGCATTTGTCTAAGTTCACTATAACATATAGTACTATAGACTCTATCTAACATGGTACTATAACGGTGGATGTTTTCCACTTTGCCCGCCCCACAGCCCACCCCATGGGTACTTGATGTCCGCTGTGGTTGGTTCGCACCCCAAGGGGAGAAAGCCATGTCACTCCACAGTGCTGGGGGGGCATCTTGGTGGGTCGAAGAATGGAAGTAGGACAATGGATCCCTCCGCTGCCGGTCAACCACTTGCAAGATTTGAAGTTTCATCGACAGTGGTAGTTTTGATGCCAATGTTGCAAGGGGCATTGCAGTCAATGACATCTTGTCATGTTTGTTCCTCCCCTCGCTGGGTGCGAGGGT